ACACGCGGTGGGGCTCCCTGGGGTCTCCTTCTGCCTCATTCACTCCAGACCTGGAGCGGAAGAAGTGGGCAGCCAGGAAACACCACCAAGTGAGGCCCCAGAAGAGCCCACTGAAAGCCACGTTTTCAAAAAGGGGCAGCCGAGTAGGACACAAAACCCCTAGACAGTAACCATGTACTCCAGACAAGCAGCCCAGAAAAACCATGTCCGTGCTACCCCTACAACAGGGAAGCCTGGACTCCGTGTCCCCTACATGGCGAGGGTGGTGGAAGGAGGCCCAGACACCTTGTGCCTCTTAACCAAAGTGGACCATGACGTCACTGTCAAATGCACAGCCATCAGCCCCTCAGGAGAAAGCAGGAGACGATCTTCAGCATCCGAGTCATCTCAGCTCTCAGCCCTGGGACAAGGGACAATGCATAAAAGGAAAAACTGACAAACTGAACTTCATCGACATGGAGAACCTTCCGGACAATGGAGCATTACTCAGTGATAAAAAGAAATGTGCTTTCAAGCCATGAAAAGACCTGGAGAAACCTTCACTGCTTATTACTAAGGGACAGAAACGAATCTAAAAATCATCCACACTGTATGGTTCCAACTCTGTGACATCTTGGAAAAGGCAAAACGATGGAGATGGTGAGAACGTCGGGTTTGCAAAGCGCTTGGAGGGAGAGCGTGAGGAAAGAACCATCGTTGGGGCACAGAGGATTTTCGGGGCCGTGAAACAACTGTGTGTGACACCACAGCGGAAGACAGGTGTCAGGACACATTTGTCCAAACCCACAGAACGTCCAGCACCAAGAGGGAGCCCTAATGTCAACGAGGGGCTCTGGGTGACGGTGATGTGCCCATGTGGGTTCATCAGTGATAACAAAGGTCTCACACCAGCGGGGGATATGCTGGGAGTGGGGGAGGCTGTGGGAAATCTCTGTATCATCCACTCAATTTTGCCGTGAACTTAAAACTGTTCCAAAAAAAAAAAAAAAAAGAGAAACTTTTACTCTGAAAAAGACCCTACTAAAAAAAGGAAAAGAAAAGTGACAGAATAGGGAAGAACATTGCCAGCCGCCTCCACCTCTCAGGAGCAGAGACCTAAAACGCGAAGGGAACGTCTTCTCATTCAGGGTGAACGCACCCGTCCCACCCACATCTGTTTGTCCAGAACTCAGTCCACGGCCACACCCGGCTACAGAGAGGCTGGGAGTGAGGCTTGTCCTGGTTTGTATTGCCACAGAGGACAGGAGACAGACGCTAGGACAAGGAGGTGCCCCTGAACACCCCCACGGCAATGACAGCCACATGCAGGCTGAGCATGCTTGATTTCTAGACAAGAAAACAATGTCCGCAGGCGAGTTGAGGAGGTCCCGGTGCTGCTGTCCCATTCTCCGTGTTCAGGTCTTCTCAGGGTTTACCTCCCCCTTCTTTTTTTTTTTTTTTTTTTTTGAGACGGAGTCTCGGTGTGTCGCCAGGCTGGAGTGCAGTGGTGTGATCTTGGCTCACTGCAACCTCTGTCTCCCAGGTTCAAGCAATTCTCCCTGTCCCAGGCTCCTGACTAGCTGGGATTGCAGGCACATGTCACGCCTGGCTAATTTATTTTTATTTTTAGTAGAGACGGGGTTTCATGACGTTGGCCGGGCTGGCCTTGAACTCCTGATGTAAGGTGATCCACCCGCCTCAGCCTCCCAAAGTGCTGGGATTGCAGGCGTGAGCCACGGCGCCTGGCCTAGCTCCCACTTCTAAGTGAGAGCGTAGTTTGGGTGGAGGATGGGAGGAGAGAGGACTGTAAACTCCCCATCGGTGCTGTGCTTATTACCTGGGTCATGAAGTCATCTGTACACCACACCCCTGTGACATGCAATTTACCTACGTCACAACCTGCACACGTACCCCTGAACCTAAAACGAAAGTTTAAAAATAAATAAATAAAATTTTAATAAAATATCAGAAATAAAAAGACAATTGAATCCACCTATGGGCACGTTGCTGTGAACAGGAGGGTGGCCGCTGGAACCAGTGGGCAGGTTCTCCACACGAAGTTCTCCACTTGAACAAAACAAGCTTCTTCCTTTCCTCTGCACTGTGTCGCTTCCAGTTTGGAGAACGTGAAAGATGAAAACAGAACAGGCTCTCCAAGCTGCACTGGCAGGGGCCACAGAACCCACCAACCGCCACCAAGTTCTGAGCCCCTCCCCACGAGCCCTGACATTAAACTCGGCTTCTGCCCACTGCTCTCTTGGTCCCCAAAACACAAACACTGTTTGCATTTACAGACACCCTGAGCGTGGCATTGCTGCTGTCGCTAGGAGCACCCCCAGCTTATGTTTGTTTATCTGATCCTCCTGCGGTGCATTTTAAACCTCTGATTAGAAACTTTCCAACAGAAACACTGTGTTCCTGAAGCACACTCCCTTCCTTCGAAGAGGTGCTGTGTGTCACGCCGAGCAGATGGCACTCTCTAGATGGCCACCTTCAAGGAGCTCCTGCTCTCCTGTGTGAACAGAAGGCAGAGGTGGCAGCGAATCCTCAAGCAAGCTTCCTTCTTCTGGCTTACTGTCGGCTCCTTGACAGAAGCTATTTATTTCATGGCGAGTGAAAGCTGGGAGAGGCGAAGATGAATGAGCAAGCACAGACACAGGGCGGCCATCCCTCTGCCCTCAGCGGGGTCTGTGGCCCCCACGGAACCTTCCACTCCAGGCCTCCCCTGAGTTCTGCTAATGATTATAAATGGCAAGGAATCTCCGATTTAATTGCAAAAGGTAATGATGCAGTGAGCATGAGATTAGATTCACCACAGAAGGCAATATCCTCAAACAATAAAAAAACATTGAGAAGCTGGGTGTGAAGATGGCTGAAATCGATCGGAAGGTTTCTGTATTAAATACTGTAGTGGAGGGTCGCAAAGTGATATTGACAGAACTGCTGACAGTGGATAAAAAAGGGCGAGAGAAAACTAAATTGATCTCTGCAGAAAATAAGTTACAGATTAATCACCCTACCATGAAATCCATTTGAGATGACCGAGGCTCTGAAGATGTGTTCACAGTTTGATTACAGAATAGGTCTCCAAAGTTGGGGCAGATGAGAACCTGCCGCATCCTAACGTGTGGGACTTGGGGTTTCCTTTCTCCCTGGCGACCTCCCTGAGACGGCGAGCACAGTAGGTGTGCAGAAGGCTCCAGCCAGCTCTTCCCACACCAGGAGCAGAGCCCTCTCCCCAGGTGTCTACACCAGGAGCGGGACCCTCTGCCCAAGTGTCTACACCAGGAGCAGAGCCCTCTCCCCAAGTGTCTGCACCAGGAGCAGAGCCCTCTCCCCAGGTGTCTACACCAGGAGCTGGGCCCTCTGCACAAGTGTCTTGCCTAAAGCCTACCATGAGCCTGGCGTTTTAATAGGAAAGTATTTTCCTCTTTCTTCCTGGAGGTTTACGGTTAAGTGGGAACGCCCTGCGAAAACGCAGAGAGGGAAGGGACAAGGAAGGCATCGCCTTCGACCATGACCAGGACTCTGCCAAATCTCCCGGAAGGTGGAGACTATGAACATATCTCCCCGGCCTGCAGGTGTGGTCCACAGGGGTCAATCTCAGGCATGAGATATGATTCAAGTTTCCTGTTTTATCTTAAAAGTTTGTGTGAAATTTGCATTCTACTCCAAGATATGAAGCTATGCCTTATATTTAAAGTTTCTCATAAAAATAATAAATCTCTTCCTTAAATACCATTGATGCTCCGGGTGAATGCCCAACACTTAATTTCACAGTGAAGGCTGTGAGACTCCCTTTTGTCCATTCAGAGGTTTAAAGCTTTAACAGGACATTTAATATTTTTAAGTCTTACTTCTGTGCCACTTATTAATAATGATGGATCATTATTCATGCCACCTCGTCAGCCTAGAGGGGTGAGGAAAGGACTTATTGATATTCTAAGGCACCATGAGGGAGAAGAGCTAAAAAAACATGTGAGGAACAAATAAATATAAGATGAGGCCATCACTGGAGAAATCTATCCAATGGATGCTTGCGCGATCCCTTTGACTGTGTGTAGGCAACGCGGCCCCCGAGGCATAAATGACATTGTAAGCGCTATCAGTTCAAAGTTCTTCCCTTTTCTCTTTTCTAAAGTGGTTACTTTGACATAAACAAACGCAATAAAATTATGAATGCATGTAAAAACCACATTTTAAAGCAGAAAATTTTAAGAAATCAAATATGAAAAATATATATTAATATTTACTCTGTGAGAGACAAAGTATTCAAACGATGCATATTTAAAAGCAAAACTCAACCCAAAGAAAGTGCTAAACGTTATTTTCATAACTCATGCAAATACATGAAAAGAGCGAGGCACCACTATGAAATTAAAATGTTATAATTGCTCCTACTTAAAGTATGATTTTACCCAAATATACTTTAAGAATCCATTCATCAAAAGGACAGCACGCTTGAAACAGTAGAAAATACTCCTGGGCATCCCACTCCCTCCTTTGCTCAAAGTGCAGCAAAAGGCAGATGTTTTGCAAACAGCTGGGTTCTGTGCGTCATCTCTCACAAGCCCTGAGTGACATCTAAACGGCTTTCACCTGAAAGACCCCATCACTCAGTTCTTTGATTGATGATTCAGTCTGTTCATTAACTAAGGTCAAAATTCTAAACTGTTGTGAATCAAGAATTATATTCTGAATTTAGCCCAAAGGCCCTATTTATTTATTTATTTATTATTTGTTATGATACTTTAAGTTCTAGGGTACCTGTGCACAACGTGCAGGTTTGTTACATACGCATACATGTGCCATGTTGGTGTGCTGCACCCATTAACTCGTCATTTACATTAGGTGTATCTCCTAATGTTATCCCTCCCCGCTCCCACCACCCCAGGCCCTGGTGTGTGGTGTTCCCCACCCTGTGTCAAGTGTTCTCATTGTTCAATTCCCACCTATGAGTGAGAACATGCAGTTTCGTTTAAAAATACAAAAACAAACGCTGTGTTGTTCCTTTTACTCACCACAGCCTGGCTTGAGCTTTCCTGTAAATCCCACAGCAGGATATGGTTATCGGCCAATGAAATGATTTTCTTCCCATCTCCCATTGGCTCCCACACGACACTAAGAGAAAGAGAAGTACCAAATGTTAACATAAACATTTGAGATACCCAGGGTGGTAGCTGAGAGCTGTGACACACATTCTTCGTGACGCAGGAACTCTTTTCCTGGCCTGTAGTCGCTAGAGTATTTATCACATTGTCATCTGGCAATGCTGACAACACTTTTATTGTCTCACTGTGATGGACTGAATTGTGCCCCCCCCCCCCACAGATTCGTGTGTGAAAGTCCCAGCCCCCCACCCGGTGTGACGCTGCAGATGATCCTCGATGTACACGGGGGCTATGTCCCCACATCCATCGTAAGTTTAAAACCCCGTGAGCTGAAAATGCAGTGAATGTCAGAGCCAGCCTAGCCTACCTTAAACACGCTCACAACACTCACATCAGCCTACAGCTGGGAAAATCATCCAACACAAGACCTCCTTTATAAGAAAGTGCTGAATATCTCATGTAATGGATTGGATAAAATGGTTGTATGGGACTCAAAATGCAATTTCTACAAATGCATAGTGGTTCCATGCCATTGTAAAGTCAAGAAGCCATAAGTCAGGGACTGTCTGTACTTGAAATGGAACCTTTGGGAGGTGATTAGGGTTAGAGGAGGTCATGAGGGTGGGGCCCTCGCAATGGGACTCATGCCCTCATAAGAAGAGACGAAGAGGCCTGGAGGGCAGGCTTCCTCTGTCTCTCTCCATCACATGAGGACACAGCGAGAAGGCAGCTGTCTGCACATCAGGAAGGGAGCCCTCACCAGGAAATGAATCAGCCAGCACTTTGATCCCAGACTTCCCGCCCCAGGAACACATTTTCATGTTGACGCCACCCAGTATGTGGCACTTTTTATGGCAGCCCAAGCTAAGACACTCACCAACGTGGGCTTCATCAGGAACTAAGGAATAGACGCTGACCAGCAGTGGCCAACGAGACGTGAGGGAGGCCTGTGGGGGCTGGAGGGTGGAGAGTCTTAGGGAGGCAGAGGGGAGAAGGTGATTTGCACAGGATGCCCACATTCTTTGCAGCGATCTCCTTAGGCACGCAAGGATAATGGCAAAATACTGGAGGAGATGGGAGGACAGAGTTTAGAGCAGGGCAGAGGAGCTGCCACCGGCCACACCAGGCTCAAGGTCTGCCCTGCCCTTGACGTGAGGCCATTTCCTAATGTTTGAGCCAGTTGCAGCCACAGTTTCCCATCAACTGCAGCCAAAGCCATCCTAAATGATACAATGTGTATTCAGTTACTCCACAAAGACCAAAATCCTCTCACCTCTTCAATAAAGCCATAAAGAGACCAAGAATTTTTCAGTGTGGTCGCAAATATGGATCTCTGTTTTCTCTGGTGAAATTCTTAAACGCTTACTTACAAAGAAGGGAATTTCATTCCATGTGATTCAACTTGGGAGTAATTAAAGACATCAATAAGGTACTACAGTATTTCTTTTTTTTTTTTTTTGAGACGGAGTCTCACTCTGTCACCCAGGCTGGGGTGCAGTGGCCGGATCTCAGCTCACTGCAAGCTCCACCTCCCGGGTTTACGCCATTCTCCTGCCTCAGCCTCCTGAGTAGCTGGGACTACAGGCGTCCACCACCTCGCCCAGTTAGTTTTTTGTATTTCTTAGTAGAGACGGGGTTTCACCATATTAGCCAGGATGGTCTCGATCTCCTGACCTCATGATCCGCCCGTCTCGGCCTCCCAAAGTGCTGGGATTACAGGCTTGAGCCACCGCGCCCGGCCACACTATTTCTTTTTAAACAGAACACAATACGGATTGATTGGGGGCACCCTCAAGCATACCTCCCTTACACCATCATCTCGAGACTGTCCATGGAGCTATTATTACTTGTAATCACATTAACATCATTCAAAACCACAATCTCTTTCTCATTTGTAGCTTAAGGAACACACAGAAAGCTCACAGTACTGTGATCAAAGGCACACCACGCCTACATTAGACCAAGAGTTTATTGTATCTTATCTAATCATAATCATAATAAACACATAATATGTAGTAAACAAGACCAAAACTCTATCGCTAGGATGCTGAAAAACCTGCTCCAAAACCCACTGCTCACATCCAGTTAAGACAATGGCTGATCCTAATGGTGAAGATACTTGTTTGGAGCAAAATGATGACACTTCTCTCCGTAGCCCAGTTACTGCAGGTAAACACAGGTAGAGTTCGAACAGCTTGACAATGAATTCCAAGGAACGAAAGGAATGCAGGGAGAGAAGGATGTTATGGGCAGCCCACAGATCTTGTGCTGGTGGGGTAACGCACTGACCCCGTGCGGAACATTTTCTATATGACGGGCAGTAAATTGAGATGGATTCATAAGCTCCCCAGCAGATCTCACTTAGAACTCACATGGGCTTCCCACCAAAAACAAGCAAGCAAAAGGCTGGAGCAAGGAGTATCCGTGTGGGCTATGCCAGCGCGTGCAGTGACAGTGACTTCTCCGAGTGGGACCAGCAAGGTGCAGTCTACGTCAGCACCAAGACAGTTGGGGTCTTTAGTAGAAGCTCCAGAAAGGCAGATTCCCTTCCCAACTAACTCACACGTCGCAGGGTGGGAACTAGCCAGTCTGATGTCAAAGACGACCTAATTATGAATCAAAGTTAAGAGCTCATAAGTTATCCACATGTTTCCCATAGACCAATTTTAATAATGCACAAACACCCATCTTGGCTACCTCCTTCGGTGCCATGAATATCTGACTACAGTGTCTCTAAAGAGAGCAAAGGTTTCTGAATCATGCACCCCACATATTAAAACTCTTCTGTGTTCCCCACAGTGACCGGCAACCTTTGGGGCACACAACACTTAATACCTGTCGACAAATTCTAAGTAAGAGTGAAGAATTCCAGGTAAGAGTGAAGATGTCATATTAACAAACGAGACTATTTTAAAATAAATTTAGTTATCACCGTTAGTACATTTGGATTTGGAAAAGAGCCAACAACTCTAGAACGAGGCAATGTTTTAAAGGCCTCTGGACAGCTCTGAAGCTTCGAACACTGTGTTTCAAAGAGCGGCATCCTCAAGTCCTTCCTCAGAAGATGAGGGTGCCCCTTCCAACTGCCCACAGTCCCAACCTGTGCCACCCTCTGGTTTCTGAATCCACAAGAGAACAAAATTGTGGACGAGGAGAGAAACGGGGTGGCTCCAAACAGAAATGTAGGTGATTCAGCAAGCTATAAAAGATGATTAATTCAGAGCAAACCAGACTGGGGGGAAGGAAGCAAAAATACAGGAATTGATAAGACTCCATAACCCAGGGCAGCTGGTTTTGGATGGAATTTGAAACACTAGCGTGTACTCACAAAGCGGTAAGAGCAGCACAGTCTTAGTTTGTGGAAGGAACTGTTCTTAGTCATGGCCAAGCATCACTGGGGTTTACCTGCAGGAAGTTCTAGCTAAAAAGTAGTAAACATCAAAATACGTTTTGAAAAGTTTTCATCTAAATGTTTTAATGTTATTGAGGTTAAACATAAGTGCTTAATAAAACTCAAGAAAAGTAACCTCATACAACTGCAATTTGTCAATTAACAAATACAAAAATTAAAAAGAATAACCCTAAATATTTCAGATAGCTAAGATTTTAATCCAAATTTTTTTAAAAATTGAGTTAAACTCATGTAAAAGCACTGTACAAAGAGGTGTATGTTATATCCCACTGGAGATTAGTGGAGAAGCGGAAGCCACCCTCTGTGAAGCAACACGCTCCATAGAGGAAGGCAGACACCAGCATCACGGGTCAAATCTGATGGCAGATATTCAGAAACCACGTGTCACAAAAAGGCTACAACCAGCAAGACCCTGCACGGTACCAGTCTGAGATACCACTTCCGGGCCCCACACGAGAATCTTCAGAGGCCCCACTGGCTACCCTGATACACCACACAGAGTGCGACTGTCACCTTAGCTGAGAAACCCCCATGGCCACTCCCAGGCAGTAAGGGAGGTTTCCCTCCCCAACCCCTCAAAAGCAATGCTAAATACACGTGAGTCAGGGGCACACCCAACACGGCCCTGGTACACTCTAGAGCATTCACAGTGAGTCAGGTGCACATCCAACATGACCCCGGTACACTCTAGAGCATTCACAGTGAGTCAGGTGCACACCCAACACGACCCCGGTACACTCTAGAGCATTCACAGTGAGTCAGGTGCATACCCTGCATGGCTCTGGTACACTCTAGAGCATTCACAGTGAGTCAGGTGCACATCCAACACGACCCTGGTACACTCTAGAGCATTCACAGTGAGTCAAGTGCACACCCAGCATGGCTCTGGTACACTCTAGAGCATTCACAGTGAGTCAGGTGCACATCCAACATGACCCTGGTACACTCTAGAGCATTCACAGTGAGTCAGGTGCACACCCAACACGCCCCTGGCACACTCTAGAGCATTCAGTGAGTAAGGTGCACATCCAACACGACCCCAGTACACTCTAGAGCATTCACACTGAGTCAGGTGCATACCCTGCATGGCTCTGGTACACTCTAGAGCATTCACAGTGAGTCAGGTGCACACCCAACACGGCCCTGGCACACTCTAGAGCATTCAGTGAGTAAGGTGCACACCCAACACGACCCTGGCACACTCTAGAGCATTCACAGTGAGTCAGGTGCATACCCTGCATGGCTCTGGTACACTCTAGAGTGTTCACAGTGAGTCAGGTGCACACCCAACACGACCCTGGTACACTTTAGAGCATTCACAGTGAGTCAGGTGCACACCCAACACGGCCCTGGTACACTCTAGACATTCACAGTGAGTCAGGTGCACACCCAATACGGCCCTGGTACACTCTAGAGCATTCACAGTGAGTCAGGTGCACACCCAACACGACCCTGGCACACTCTAGAGCATTCACAGTGAGTCAGGTGCATACCCTGCATGGCTCTGGTACACTCTAGAGCGTTCACAGTGAGTCAGGTGCACACCCAGCATGGCTCTGGTACACTCTAGACATTCACAGTGAGTCAGGTGCACACCC